GACATTTTAACTATAGATCATAAAAGTCAAACTGGAAGCAATTCAGTGTTGATTCTGCAACCCTTGTGGGCTTGGTAATGTACATCATTGCCTCCTGATTTTTGTTGGTCAAGGTACGGTCAAGTAACTATACTGTAAGTATTATAATGAAATGAAAAAGGAGGACAAATGAAGAGAGCTACTCTATCTCCTGGAGGCATCCCAACCTTGAAAAGTTTCATACTTAGGATACTATGTAAATTTATTATAATTTCTTCGTGTAGTTTTTAAGCTTTAACATTTCTAATTCTTTGGTTGTAAATCAACATAGGAAAAAATTCAGATAACAAGTGTTAAATATACATATCACAACCCATAATGGACTAAAGTTGTGCTGTATTATCCACATTTGCCTTCTCTTTATATATCTATATATATAATTGCGTTTTGGGGTACATGTGAAGAACATGCAGCATTGTTTCATAGGTACACACATGGCAATGTGGTTTGCTGTCTTCCTCCCCATACCTGTATCTGGCATTTCTCCCCATGTTATCTCTCCCCAACTCCCCACCCCCAGCTGTACCTTCCTTAGCTCCCATCAACAAGCCTCAGTGTGTGATGCTCCCCTCCCTGAGTCTATGTGTTCTCATTGTTCAATATCCACCTATGAGTGAGAATATGCAGTGTTTGATTTTCTGCTCTTGTCAGTTGCCTTCTCTTTTTTTTTTTTTTTTTTTTTTTTTTTTTGAGACAGAGTTTTGCTCTCGTTACCCAGGCTGGAGTGTAATGGCGCGATCTCGGCTCACTGCAACCTCCGCCTCCTGGGTTCAGGCAATTCTCCTGCCTCAGCCTCCTGAGTAGCTGGGATTACAGGCACGCGCCACCATGCCCAGCTAATTTTTTGTATTTTTAGTAGAGATGGGGTTTCACCATGTTGACCAGGATGGTCTCGATCTCTTGACCTCGTGATCCACCCGCCTCGGCCTCCCAGAGTGCTGGGATTACAGGCTTGAGCCACCGCGCCCGGCCTGCCTTCTCTTTATATAACACAAATTACTGGTTTTCACTAAACATTTGAAACTCTTTCCCACAGCATTGTCCCAAACTTGGCAAACTCTTGTAGAAGTCCATTAAAAAGTATTTTAAAGATACCTGATCCTACAGCTTAAAAGTAACTATGTATTTTTTGTGAAGGTACTGCAGGTTACAGAACGAAAATGATATAAAGCACTTAATATACATCCATAGTAACTTTTCATTACTATATGAATGTCAAGAGTCTTTTTGGGGTGTGTTACCAGGATTATAGACAAAATTCAAAAGGTATTCATGATGTACAGGTGATGAGTAGTATTCCTTGAAGCACTTTTAATTGGAGCAGAAGTTCTTTTCCTAACTTAAAAAAAAATCTTTCCTGGCCATTTTAAACACTTTTAGTTAAACATTTTTCCAAAGCAATCAACTCATCCCAGTCCCATAAATAAATAATAATTTTTCCAGCTGGAAAAATTTTTCCAATTTTTTTCCATAATAAATACTTACTGTATGCTACAGAGTTTTGGGGGTGGATCTGTTATATAGCAATAGCTGTATACCTGGAGACCTATAGAAAAGAACAATCACAACTGTTTAGGAGGTTACATATACTTAAGTAGCTTAGAAAAAAACGCATTATATACATTGTTAATCAAGTTACTTTATGAATTCTATAAAGAAAAGTAATGACATTGTTTTCATGTATGATACTGAAAGGCAACATTTGAAAGTTTTGCCTGAATTGCTCTTGAAGGTGACTCTTAAATAAGGAATAGCATGTGTGTTAGTTTTCATTTACCTTGAAGAATTTATTTCTTGCTGAAGCTGATTTGTTGTACAGATCATACCTAATTAATTTTCATTTTAAAATATTATTCTGACACTAAATCTGGCACTTCTGATGCCCACTTCTTGATAATATTGTCAGGAATTATTTTGAGTAAGTAGCATAAACTGGTTAATTTTTAGAAATAACATGACTATTTTCCTTTAACAGTTTTACCTTTTAGCTCTTACTTATGAATGGAGTATCATGCCACTGAATCATTACATTAAGTGACTTTTTAAAATATTTTCTTGGATTAAATTATTCTTACTGAATTTTCCATTTTGTTAGAAACCAACTTTCATTAATCATCATGAAATTCATTGTACCAGTAATACTAAGCAGAACTCAGATGATGAAGAATTAGCCAAGTAGGTTGTAAATTAGGCAAAAGGAGGCAAATATTCTTCCCTGAATTAACCATTGGACATGCTTGGCTTGTTTAGTGGAAAGGTATGGGTTGTCAAGGCAATCGGAAGAAAATAAAATATTTCAGAAGGCAGAGACTCAACAGTAACTATCAATCAAATGTGTCGAACCTTAAAACTTCTGGAGAAACAAGGCCTTAAATCAGACTCTGGTAGCAGTAAAGATAATCAATAACACCATTTTACTTCAAAAGACAGACCTTGCTCAAGATACTGGGATGGAGAGGGCAGGGAGTCAAAAGGAAATCAGGTCAATGTTTATAGTACCCATTTTAACAAATTATCGGTAAAATCATTTATTAATTTTAGTTTAATAAATTTATTAAATGTATTACATAAGTTTTGGATAAAAATTATTTCAATTTAATAAATTAAATATTTTGAATATATATTTATTATTTAAATTTAATAAATTATACAACTGTTTTGAATATTATTTATATATAAGTTAATATATAACTTTTGAGTTTTTGAATATTCATATACATTTACGCTCAAAAACTCTAGCACTCTAGCATTGTTTTGCCTCATTCACTCTACAGTTTCAGAAAACATTGCTACAGAACTGCACAGGCACTAACCAAGGTTCTTAACTGAGATCCAGGCATTTACAAATGATTCAATTATGTTCAGTATACTTGGTTCGGAAAGTCGATGGAGTGTCTACTACATTTTTTAAAGATTTTGAGAAATGATTCAAATTAAAATGGTTTCGAAATTGAAGAACTATAAACTTCACTCATGTAAAAAGTTAAGCTCATTTTTTAATGATGACAGATAATTAGTTTTACTAGGTTGTGGCATTTAGTGCTAAAACTACGTAGTCTGGCCAGGCGCAGTGGCTCAGGCTCATTAAGCCCAGCACTTTGGAAGTCTGAGGCGCGTAGATCACAAGATCAGGAGATCGAGACCATCCTGGCCAACATGGTGAAACCTCGTCTCTACTGAAATTACAAAAATTAGCTAAGTGTGGTGGCACGCTCCTGTCATCCCAGCTACTGGGGAGGCTGAGGCAGGAAAATCACTTGAACCCAGGAGGCGAAGATTGCAGTGAGCAAAGATTGCGCCTCTCCACTCCAGCCTGGCCACAGAGCGAGACTCCGTCTCAAAAGAAAAAAGCAAAAAAACTACATAGTCTAACAAAAGATGGAACTCTTTAAATCCCACAAGCTGTTATGTTTATTAATGTTGCTAATTGTAAAAAATTAAAAACATGTCTGCTGCTTACTGCATCCTGCACCTAAAAATAAATCTCAGTCTCAAGAGAGTGAACAGTGACAGACTCGGAAGACTGCAAATAAGACCACAAGTACAGTCACTGTGGGAAGTATTACAGGGTCAGTGACCTTGCTACTTTAGGCACTGCAAATATTTTAGCTCGAATTCAGCCTCACACTCTGTAATTACAAAGAACATTGTTACTTTCCATCTCCAGCCCCCAGTCATGAAGCCACATAGTGCTCTGTTTTGCAAAGTCCTTGCTGCAGTTTTCACTACCATCTCTCATATGAGACTTTACAGGAGGAGGTTATGCCTTTGTTGTTCCTAAAAGTGAGAATAGGAAAAGACTGACTGTGACCTTCCATTAACTAGTTTTATTTCTTCAAGGATTATCTTTTGGCTCCTACATTCAGGGCATTTCAGTAAAAATAAAAATACACTAATGGGTATTCTGAAACTGTAAAATATGTAGACAATGATTCTTTCGTTAAGGTCAGTGGGATCCCAGGGAGACCATCAAGGGTCTATGGAAGGCTCACGAGCCTGCTAAATCATACACCAAATTGTGTGTATGTATATTTTTTCAGGAAAAGGATCCAATGCTTTCATCCGATTTTTTTAAGTGCCAGTGACATCCCCCTCCAAATTTTTTTTCTCTCTTAATTTAAAACTACTGTTTTCAACTATACTACAAGTAAAATGTTTGGTATATGTCTCATCAATTTATAAGGACAATGAAGTCCACATATTCAAGCACTTTTCTCCAAGCCATCTTCCAATTAAATATTATCCAGATGGCCTACAACTTAAATTCAGTTTGGTGCAATGGATTAGTTACAGACTTCCTGGATTCAAATCCTTACTGGCCCACTAACTAACTAGATTAGCTTAGTTAAATGAATTAACCCTTCAGAACCTCAGTTTTCTAATCTGAAAAATGGGAATTATCATAGTGCCTGCCTCATGAAGACGAAGTGAGGATTGAGGAGATCATGTCAAAAGTGCGTGGCATAGTTCCAGAACCTGACTCTGACTGCATTCTATTAGTGCTACTTTTGATGAGTTTTAATGGATCTCTGACTGCTAGTGATCTTTCATTACACTACAAATCACCACATTTTAAACTTACCTTTCCCAATCCGTATCAATATTCAAACTTTGGATACCTGTATTGTGACCTTTATATCTGAATTCATCATTTTGCTGAGAAAATTTTATATATGAGCATTTTCACATTATAGTTTTGTTTTTAACCTTGTGACTAAAGCAGTAAATCTAATTGTTGACTAATGCACAATAAACCGATTAAAATATTAACAACAGTTTTTAGGCCATAATATAAAATTGGAAAATTACTTGAATACACTTAAAAATTTATTAGGTTTTTATACCAAGGAAATATAAATCATGTATAGGGTCATATGAAACATTTTGCTTTCCTTAAAAAGACAGGCATACTAAGCAAATTAACAAATGATGGTTTGAAATGTTGCTCTTTTCTTCCACAGCTCTTGTAGTGAGATTTCTGACCAAACGGTTCATCTGGGAATATGATCCCACTCTCGGTAGGTCAAATTTTGTTTCCTTCTCCTCTTCAATCAAAGTTTATGGCCCCAAAGAAAAAATAATATTTTCCGTTGCAACATTTTTAAGCTCCTTTTAGCTGATCTGGAAGTGCTTTTCAAATCATGCAAAGAAGCCCTCTATGAAGTTAGATGTGTGTTTCATGCTGTCTCTGCTTAGAACCCTGCAGGATTTTAATACATAGATGAAGAAATTAGGTCAAGCTTCAGCCACGAAGGAAGGAAATGGAACAAGACTCTGGCCTCACGTCAGAAAAATGCAGTATCATTCTAATGGGAGAAAGAGGAGAAAATGGACATGCAAAATTTGGCGCATAACAAAATGGCATCCTGAGAAGAGTAACAGATAAATAAAACTGAATATGAATTTTAGGGGAAAATAAAATACATTTCTATCTTTTCTTCTCTCCAATACATCTGACCAAAGTCTGTTATGGAGAGAGAAGGAGAGAATTGGAAGCAAAATATGATGATGTCTGTGGATCTTAAAAGTACCAATAATGTTGATGTATAAAATGTAGGCAAACACTCTTCCTGGTGTTTTAAAAAATTCGTTTTGTTTCTTTGTCACTCCAAGATTTTCAGTTAAAAAGGGAGCAAGATTGTTTTAATCCATTTATTTTTATATTTTAACATTTATATAAATATTCATAAGCAACATATAATTGCTTTTAAAAATTATCATAAATCAGTATTATACATGATTTACAGTTATGCCTTTGCCTTATTTACTCACTATGCTTTTAATATCTGTCCACTCTGACCAATACAAAACGCGTTCATCCATTTTATCTGACATAAAGTGTCCCTCCTACGAATATTCAAAATTTTATATATCTTATGACCCTAATGATGGACATTTATGGGTTTAAAATCTTACCATTAGAAACAATGTTACAACCAGCTTCTTTGGAGGCACTCAAGAGACTTGCTCTGGGCAAAGTACCTGGAGATGGAATGGCTCCCTGAGGTTTGCTGTTATGTCACCCATGCTGTAGTGTATTTATCACTGTACGCATAGGTTACCTGCATCTTGCACTTGCATTAAGAAAACATTGTTCTTTTGCCTGCATTGATTGCCATCTTTAAAAAAAATCAGTTATCCATGTGACAACACCACGTTTTGAAATCTTCCGTTACTACTCTCTTCCCATCAATGTCTTGTTATGTTCTTAACAGCTTTTACTCTACATATTTTGATGCTTAAGACTTCTTTCATTGTTTTTGTTCATTCATTCTACAAATATTTATCAAGTGTCTCCTGTGTGTTGAAGCATGCTGGATGCGAAGGATAAATCAATACACAGAAAGAGAAAGCCTTGGCGTTTTTGAGTGCACGGCCCAGGAAAGAGAGAAGAATCAATAAACGAACAAATGTATGTGAGATAGTGATAAGTGTTATGAAGGAAAACAATAAGGAAGGGACTAAGTTTACTTAGCATTTGACTTACAGTTTACTTAGCGTTTGACTATTTAATATCTCTAAAATTTATTTTAGTGAGAAGTACAAGGTGAAAATCCAACATTTTTGTCCAAATCATTGAACAATTTTCTTATTATTTGTTAAATATTCTCTACCTTTCTCCGCTACTTCAAATGCAATGTTTTCTTATGTTGAATTGTTTATACCAGAACACCATACTAGATTTGCTTTTCATACCAAACAGAAGCAGCATACTATTTTGATAATTGTATGCTGTACAGAACACTTTGATACTTTGTAGAGAAAGTCTTTCCTCATTAATTTTTTACAAAATTATTTTGGCTACTCTGTCCAGTTGATGTTACAGATCAAGTTTAGAAACTCTGTAATAATATGACATTATTTGGATTGGAATTACACTAGATTTATAGATTACTTTGAGAAGATTCATATCTTTATGTTATTCTATCTTTTAATCTAGGAGAATAGCATATTCCTACATTTATTATTTATTCTTCTGCATTTGCTTTTAAATAGGTTATATTTTTTCACATCCAAATTTTTCAGTATATTTTTAAATGTAGCCACACCAATTTTAAGATGATATATTTGGATCTAAAAATGTAACTGATTTTAAAAAATTATTTATTATTTCACCCACCAAAGTGAATACTTATTCTGCTCTTATATTTTTATTACTTACATAAGCTTTACAGAGATTATCTGAGAATATTAATAATTTATGGACGTTTAATTTTAAAAATACAAATTTTTATTGCCATATCCATATATCTAAATGAAAGATGAAGCTTATAAAATATGATCTCATAACATGTTCTCTCTCTGAATGCGTTCCAGTACCTAATCTTACTATTCTTTATTAGCTTTAGTTGAACCATTTTCCCTTTTGTCTTATTCATTCTGAGAAACAACTGCTATTAATAATAATCTGCCTGCATCAGTTATATGTAGAGCAGGCTTCCTTCAGTAAGAATAATGAAACTTTTTATTGAGTGACCTTCTACACTACTGCTCAAAGAGGATGGCAGCTGCTAAACAGCAAGCACTTTCATCAGACTTCAGGAGTAATGGGTATAAGACTCACTCCCAGGTGAGGGCTTCATTAATTCTCTCACACTGGAGGCTGGATTTGTGTGTATGTTCGTGTGTGCAAGAGTTCACTTTTGTTCCAGCATAGAGGGGTTCTCTATCCATTTGATTCAAGGGAAATTGGCATTTCCTGAGTTTAACTTCATACTACCTTAAGGAAGACAGGATTTTTTGTTGAATACATGGCTACTGTATTAGTCCATTCTCATAATGCTAGAAAGAAATACCTGAGACTGAGTAATTTATAAAGAAAAGAGGTTTAATTGGCACCTGGTTCTGCAGGCTGTACAGGAAGTATGGCAGCCTTGCTTCTGGGGAGGCCTTAAGGAGCTTTTATTTGTGGCAGAATGGAAAGTGGGAACAGGCATCTTACTTGGCAGGACCATGATGTGGGGGGCATGCCACACACTTTGAAACAACCAGATCTTGGCCAGGCACAGTGGCTCATGCCTTCATCCCAGCACTTTGGGAGGCTGCAGTGGTGGATCACGAGGGCAGGAGATCAAGACTATCCTGGCCAACATGATAAAACCCCATCTCTACTAAAAACACAGAAAATAGCTGGGCATGGCGGCACGTGCCTATAATTCCAGTTACTCAGGAGGCTGAGGCAGGAGAATAGCTTGAACCCAGGAGGTGGATGTTGCAGTGAGCCCAGATCATGCAGCCGCACTCCAGCCTGGTGACAGAGCGAGACTCTATCTAAAAGAAAAAAAAAAAAAGGAAACAGATCTCACTCACTAGAACTTACTGTTGTAATGCCATCACCACAGGGATGGTGTGAAACGATGAGAAATCACCCCATGATCCAATCACCTGTCACCAGGCCCCACCTCCAACATCAGGGATAACAAACGTACATGAGATTTGGGTGGAGACACAGATCCAAACCATAAAACCACATTGGCTACTTTAACTAAAAGTTTCAAAACCACCACCAAAAGAGATAATTATATTGAAAAGCCAGGTGGCTTATATACAAAAAAAAAAAAAAAAAAAAAAAAAAAAAAGCAGCCCTAAATTCTGAAGTCAATGCCTTCATCAGAAACGAGGCAGTTTTTCCAACCTGGAACAGAATTGTTACTGCACAAGAAGCTGAAAACTCTGACCATACTACATAACACAATTAGAATATTTACTGCTTTGAAATAATTCAATGAAGAAAATGCTTGCTATTATAGTAGCAAGTGAGTCCTAAACCTTTCTATTTCAGATGCAGGTTTTTTTGTTTGTTTTTCGCTTTCGTGTTTTTATGGAGAAAGCCTATCCTAAGAATTTAATGAGAGATGCTGGCAAGGGAAGAAAAGTGAGAGGGAGCTAAACGTACGCTCCACTTGCACTTTGTAAAAGAAAGAAATTGCTTTAACATCTAAGTGTTTTGAAGGATATAATGTTAAAAAAAAATCAGTTGTTTACACTGAACAATTTCAGTTTTATTTTAATTTTTCTTATTTCACTGTTAATCAGTGAGATCTTTGTGGGTGGCCAGCACACGGATGTCTATGAACCACATTTGAAAATCACCACTGAAGCCCATAAGATGTGGGAGTTGGACGATCTAACCATGAAAACCCCGTGATGGTGGTGGCAGCAATGACTGGGTTGTGGGAAAAGGTCCATGTTCTGATTGGATCCCAACCAAGAAGTGAATTCCTACCTCCAAGAGTCATATTATCCTGAAGAGTTCTTATCATAGCAGAGAATACAGATAGAGGCTTAGAATGTGTGTGCCTGTAACTGTGTGTGTGTGTGTGCATGTGCGTGTGTGTGTGTGTGTGTGTGTGTGTGCTGGAGGCATTTGGAGAGGAAGAGAGAGACTGTATTTCAGCTTCTATCACTACTACGACTGGTACGTTGGAGGCACTGTGTTTCAGTCTGCTTAGAAAAGGCTCTGTTAGGAGTGAGGATGGGAATCAGGAGACGTTAGACCCACTAGTTCTTTGGTTCTGTGTCTGGTTCTTCTCGCCTGCCTTACCGCCCCTGCTGCTTGGAATGGTTCATACGCAAATCGATACACTCAGAACAATTTATCTTCACTAGATTCTAAAGCAGAAGTGCTTAGCCAACTCATAGAATTATTTAATTATTTAATACTGGCACCTCAAGGAACTTGGAGACTGTCATTTGACAAATAAGGAAACAGGTACAAAGAAGCAAATTTAATCAAAATGACATGGCCGGTTGTGATTAGACTAGCAATAGAACTCAACTCGGTACAATTTCCACTCTAGCATAAATCAGCATTACTAATTGCTGTTGTTACTGTGCTAAGTGTCCATACCAACATGTTGAAATTTGAAAAAAAAAAAAAAAAAAAAAAAAAAGCTAAATCAGTAAAAAGACTAACCAATGCAACATCCCTTTAAGCATCAACTCCTCTTAGAGTACATAAATTACACTTATAGTTATTAAAGTACTAGTGAGTGCAGATTTTAAATTATATATCACT